ACCACAGTGACTGTGCTTCTTGAAATAAAAATGTAGTTTCTATTTATCGTCACAGGTCATCAGGAATTTGTCTCTGTCATGATCTCTGCTGCTGTTAATACACAAAAACTTTTTTAAAAACCTACCCCCTTAGCTGCAACAATTTCTTGTTTACATCTTTTCAAATTACACGACAACAAAGACGACGTCGACTGTGATAACAATAGTGATTGTGAGGATAACAAAGGATGGTATCCACGACAACAACGACGATACAAACATTTGATATTTTTCTAAATCGAAAGCCTGATGAGTTACCCTACTTGTGTGAAAAAAATATATGTAAGTTAAACTGTACCTAGTTTTTGAATAAATTGGAATTCAAACTTCACAAGAACACTATTTTTTTAAAATGATTACGCAGACAAAAGAACTTCTTTTTTTTCGACACTTCTGTGATTTTTTTTTTAAAAAGGTGTTTGTCAGCCTACTGGCAGAAAAAAGATAGCTGCAGCATTAAAGCTGACAATAGGAATAATAAAAATACATGTAGTACTCAAACATGACTCACCGCGAAATCCCCGGAGCCCATAAGACAATAACACTCCAGACGTCCCACCAAAACCCTCAAAGTGCTTTGACCTTGACACAGCTGGTGACACTGGGTCAAGGTCATAGAATAGTACGGCTGGGAATTGGCTTTTGTTAATGAAATGCCAGACTGGCTGTTCAGTTCAAAGCAGCCTTGGTAACCTGAGGATATCAATGTAAGATGTAGTATTAATTGTTTTTTCGTGAAGAAACGTTTTAAGAAAAACGATAACATAACATGAACAATGATAATGATGACATAAAAATTGTAGAGTTGATGATCATAATGATAACGATAATTCATAACAACATCAATGATTATGATAATATATTAATAATCATGACAATAATTCTAATGATAATAATTAAAAGTTAAAAAAATAATGATAATAATAACAACAATAATAATAAAAATGATAATAATGATTTTAAAAATAATAATGATGATAACATTTAACGTTATGATGATGATGATGATGATGATGATGATGATGATGATGATGATGATGATGATGATGATACAAAAGAGAAAAGAAGTAAAGGGGTAATAACAGTAAACTGTCAGTACAGAATGACTCGGAGAGTTTCGATTCAGACTCACTCTCATCTCTCTGACAGGCAGCTGAGAAGACCCCGCCCCCAGAGGCTGGCATAGGCCCAGTGGTGTAACGATACATGCTGTAGTAGGACTCAGTGGTCAGAGACTGGTCTCTTTGCAATAGGTCAGAGTTCGAGAACGTTTCACGCCTGGACGGATGGTGCGTTGCAGAAAAGAAAAGTACAATGAATCAGAAAGGGGGGCGTTTAGTAGGGGAGGGTGGG